AATTACATAATGAGGAATACGTAGTCTATTAGTATGAGAAATATGACAAAATCCAGGTAGTAAGCAATAAATTTACATCTGCAAGTCAGCTTCAACTATAGAAATAGTTTATTTCTTGTGCTGAATATACATCCACATGAACACCTACATATAAAGTGAAAATTTAATATAGCTACGTAGTAACAGCTCAGTAAGGACGTTCAGTTATTAAGGATGACAAATGTACAAAAATCCCTATCAGAACTCCGGAGCATGTAAAAGGCTCCTGATTTAAGAGTTCCGGCATGTGAATGTCAGAGGTCAAAGCAATGAGCTATTAAAGATACTTTCACTTCCTCAGAAATAAAGTGCTGTCCTGGGCTTGGAGGGGAAAGGTTAGAAAAGCTGTTTATCTGCCACTCTGTTCCCATTCTTCCTTCTGTCAGGAAATCGTACATGCCCCTACACCCCACACAGGGTTAGCCCTGGGTCACGGTCCTTCCCCAAGTGCTTGCCCGCATTTGATTTAAGTGCAAAGACCACATGGCTGCAGGTTGCCTTTTCTCAAAACACACGTCTGGATGTAAAGCTCAGCTCAGCTAAGTCTCGATGGGACGTAAAAGCAGGGTCTCCACCGCTTTACTGCTAAAGAAGAGTGAAGCCATGGGCATTAGTTTGCATAAATTAAGGAGGTCATTCATTAATAAAAAGAAAATGATATTTTGTAGTAGATAGAGCTAGAATAAGAATTACAAAGCATGTTTAACCAGTGGGAAACCTGCGGAGAGGGGAGACAGGTTGTGTCCTCACCAGAAGCCATAGGGCATGGTCAGGACAGACTGAGAGGAGCATAATAAGCAAAGGTGCCACGAGACTGCAGAGACAGGGATACACCACTGGGCTGAGGAGGTATAAGCAGAAAAAAAACTGCCCGGAGCTGGAAGAGACCCCAAAGCAGTTGCTGTGACCCAGGAAGCCACTGAACAATTGCTGGATTAAGTGCAAAGCTGAAGGAAAACAGCTGTATGCAGGCAAACAGTGGGCAAGGGGAGATTTATTTATATAAATTGTTTATTATAATTAAAAATATTTTATGCATAATATACACGTATCATGTGTCTATTTATATATATATGTGAGATGTGTGCACGTCTATGGGGGTATGATGTAACAGACATCACAGAAACACGGTGGGATGGCTCCTATGACTGGAGTGTTGGAATGGAAGGTTACAGGCTCTTTAGAAAAGACAGGCCTGCCAGGTGGGGAGGGGGAGTTGCCCTTTATGTTAGGGATAGGCTGGAGAGTATGGAACTGTATCTGGGGACAGGTAAACAGTCCACAGGGAGTTTGTGGGTCAGGGTTAAAGGGAAAACAGCTATGGGAGACATTACTGTGGGGATCTGTTACAGACCGCCTGATCAAGGAGAACCTGCAGATGAAGCACTCCATAGACAGATAGGAAAAGCCTCACGCTCGCAGGCCCTTGTTCTCATGGGTGACTTCAACCACCCTCACATCTGTTGGAATGACGGTACGGCCCGGCACAAGCAGTCCAGGAGGTTCCTCGATTGTGTGGTAGACAACTTCCTTCTGCAAGAAATAGAGGAGCCCACAAGGAGAGGTGCCATGTTTGACCTCGTGCTCACCAACAGGGAAGGGCTCGTTGGAAATGTGATGCTCCAGGGCAGCCTTGGATGCAGCGATCACGAGATGCTCGAATTTGAGATCCTCAGGACAGTGAGAAGAGCGTGCAGCAAGCTCACTGCCCTGGACTCAAAAGAGCAGACTTTGGCCTCTTCAGGAACCTGCTTAGGAAGGTTCCATGGGATACAACCCTAGGGGGCAGAGGGGCCGAAGACTGTTGGTTGATATTCAAGGGTCACCTGCTACAAGCTCAGGAGTGTTGCATCCCAACCAGAAGGAAGTGCAGCAGGAGGGCCAGGAGACCTCCTTGGATGGATAAGGAGCTGCTGAGGAAAATTCAAATGAAAAAAGAGGCTTATAATAAGTGGAAGCAAGGACAGGTGGCATGGGAAGAGTACGGGGATGTTGTCTGGGAAGCTAGGGACCAGGTTAGGAAAGCTAAGGCCCAGTTAGAATTAAACTTAGCTGGAGGTATTAAAGATAACAGGAAGGGATTCTACAGGTACATAGCAAATAAAAAACAGACTAGGGAGAATGCAGGCCCCCTCAGGAAGCTCTCGGGAGAACTGGCTACACAGGATTTGGAGAAGGATGAGGTTCTGAATGACTTCTTTGCCTCGGTCTTCACTGGCAAAAGCTCTGACAAAACCACCCAAGTCTTGGAAGGCAGATGCAGGGACTGTGAGAATGAAGACCTTGGGCCCACTGTAGGAGAGGATCTGGCTCTAGACCATCTTAAAAATCTGAATGTGCACAAGTCCGAGGGTCCTGCTGAGATCCATCCACAGGTCCTGAAGGAGCTGGCAAATGAAGTTGCAAAGCCGCTGGCCATGATATTTGAGAAATCCTGGCAGTCAGGTGAAGTTCCCAACGACTGGAAAAAGGGAAATATAACCCCCATTTTCAAGAAGGGGAAAATGGATGACCCAGGGAATTACAGACCAGTCAGTCTCACCTCTGTGCCTGGCAAAATCTTGGAGCAGATTCTCCTGGAAGGCATGCTAAGGCACATGAAAATCAACAAGGTGCTTGGTGACAGCCAGCATGGCTTCACTAAGGGGAAATCCCGCCTGACCAATTTGGTGGCCTTCTATGATGGGGCTACAGAACTGATGGACAGGGGTAGAGCAGTTGATGTCATCTACCTGGACTTGTGTAAAGTGTTCAACACCGTCCCACACGACATCCTTGTCTCTAAATTGGAGAGACATCAATTTGCTGGATGGACCACTCAGTGGATAAAGAACTGGCTGGATGGCCACACACAAAGAGTTGTGGTCAATGGCTCAATGTCCGGCTGGAGACCAGTAACGAGTGGTGTCCCTCAGGGATCAGTGTTGGGACCGATCTTGTTCAACATCTTCGTCACTGACACAGACAGTGGGATTGAGTGTGTCCTCAGCAAGTTTGCCGATGACACCAAGCTGTGTGGTTCGGTTGATATCCTGGAGGGAAGGAATGCCATCCAGAGGGACCTTGACACGCTTGTGAGGTGGGCTGATGCCAACCTCATGAAGTTTAACCATGCCAAGTGCAAGGTCCTACACCTTGGTGGGAGCAATCCCAGGCACAGCTACAGGTTGGGCAGAGAAGAGATTCAGAGCAGCCCTGCGGAGAAGGACTTGGGGGTGTTGGCTGATGAGAAAATGAACATGAGCCGGCTGCAGTGTGCGCTCACAGCCCAGAAAGCCAACCGTATCCTGGGTTGCATCAAAAGGAACGTGACCAGCAGGTCGAAGGAGGTGATCCTGCCCCTCTACTCTGCTCTTCTGAGACCTCACTTGGAGTATTGTGTGCAGTTCTGGTGTCCTCAACATAAAAAGGACATGGAACTGTTGGAACAAGTCCAGAGGAGGGCCACGAGGATGATCAGGGGACTGGAGCACCTCCTCTATGAAGACAGGCTGAGGAAGTTGGGGCTGTTCAGCCTGGAGAAGAGAAGGCTGTGTGGAGACCTCATAGCAGCCTTCCAGTATCTGAAGGGGGCCTATAGGGATGCTGGAGAGGGACTCTTCATTAGGGACAGTAGTGACAGGACAAGGGGTAACGGGTTAAAACTTAAACAGGGGAAGTTTAGATTGGATATAAGAAGGAAATTCTTTCCTGTTAGGGTGGTGAGGCACTGGAATGAGTTGCCCAGGGAAGTTGTGAATGCTCCATCCCTGGCAGTGTTCAAGACCAGGTTGGAGGAGGCCTTGGGTGACATGATCTAGTGTAAGGTGTCCCTGCCCACGGCAGTGGGGGTGGAACTAGGTGATCTTAAGGTCCTTTCCAACCCTAATTATTCTATGATTCTATTCTATGATTCTATGTGTATATAAAATAGTATGTATATTTTATATATAAACACATATTTATAATATGTGGTCTGCCTCATTCTGATTTTTTTCAGTTTAGAGAAGTTTTTAATTCTAGTTAATGTAGTAACAGAATCTAGCTTGAAACTTAAAAACCCTTCTGACTGCTGAAAGGGCTCATTATAGAAAAGATCTAGGAACTTGCAGCTCAGAACTCTAACAGATCCAGGGGCTCACCGTATGTGAATGTTAGCTATAATGTGTATTAGTAGTATTTACATACAGTAGTTCCATGTCATGCCTACATACATACATGCTGGCATTTCATCTGAAGAATCAGCATGATAAACAAAGAAAACATTTGCTACCTTCCCATACCACATGTCCCCTTCCCAAGTCACAAGTGGAATATAGGAATACACCTTTCTGTACAAAATGTCAGACGGCAGATTCATGCCATGGTATAAAATACTGTCCCTGATTTCTTAAAAGGTGATGTTGAACTTCAATTAAAAAACATTAAAAGATTCCAATTTAGAGCTGTTTCTGACAGACAAGATTTGAAACAGACTCTCCATACAACCCTTTCATTGGCTTTCAATAACAAAAAAAAAATTCTATTTCTGTATTATTTTTGATAAAAATAAAACCATCAAATAATAAGAATATTAGAACATGTTAAGTAAATGAAGCATTAACACAGATACTAGAACATGAACAATTAGTAATGAAGTCTTCACATGACTTGCCAGTTTTTTCTTTTTAACAACTTGAAGTTTTAAACAAAAAAATACATCAGCTTAACTCCCAGGTTAGGTGATGTTGCAGGTATCACAAATATATATATATATACGTATATATATATATAAGTATATAACCATAAGCAAAGTGCACAATCTCCATCTGCAAGCCTAATGGTAAACTACAGATTACTGAGGCCAGAACATCACCCTCAGTTTCTGTGTTTTATTTGTTTCTAAAACCAGAACAATCTGTTATTAGTCACTTGATCATGAAAATGTCATGTTGTTTCAAGGAGCTTGAGAGTAAAGACTACATTATCAGCTATGTTCTTACCAAATTTATCAGCTGAGTGTGGACAATATCTTCAACCAGTACTGCAGTTTCATGGAGCGGCCTGCGAGCATCTCCCAAGGAAAACCTGGAAGAAAGAGGTTTATTGAAAGGTTAGGAAAATGAGTAAAAAAGAACAAAATTGGTGTTCTCCATAAGAATAAAAAAAGTATGAGTAATAACAAGCTTAATTCACCTGCATGTACAGAAATGGATCACCCATTATGGTGCAGGAATATAAACCAAAGTAATCTTATTAAATGAGGAAAAGAGCAAGAATGTAAAGCATATGGTGTGAAAACATGAAAAATTGAGGAAACAGAAGAAAATCCAGTTTGTAGAATCATTTGAAAAAAGTAGGCAAAGCTGTAGTACTCCTATGCTACCAGGAGTAATCCTGTATTTGCAGCATCCTTTGCTTAAAAAATATTTATTACCATATTACACTGGAATTTAAAATAATAATCGAAACATCACAGACTCAAAACAAGTGCTCATATACGATAAACATTTTTTATTGAGCTGCGTGTGTACATTCGCATTAAAATTTACATTATTTTTTCATCTTATAAGGTATATAAAACCAAACAGGACCCAGTTATCACAACCATTCTTACTTTCTGGCCTTTTAATATTGAAAAGTCATTTTTCTTTTTTTCTAAGTCTTAGAATGAAAAATAAAACTGTGTGATACAGTAGTAACACCTGGTGCCAGCATTCTCATCTTGAATGTACCTTTTGTTCCCAGTCTTACTAAGCATTCCACATACAGAAATGAAAGGTTTTTAGTTTTCTTTTTTGAAGACACCAAAGTGCAAGAACAAAACAGGATGCTGCCTCTGCATTGAGATGCCTTCCCTGTCTGCACTTAGAAGTCTCTCTCACAAGTAACTACCAGTCCCCCTGAATGGCACAAAAAGCAGAAGAGATGCAATCAAGATGCAGCATGTTGATCTGAGAGGAGACAGACATCAAATCTTGCTCCTTTCTGATGCAAAAGGGTATGTCAGAGTTGATGCTGAAATGTGAAGAAGAGGGATGCAACAGTCAGCGTCACTACCTGGTTACATAGAAAATCAAGTTTCAGATGCGTCTACTGTCTTCCTCCCTTCCTTACACTCTACCTTCAAAGCTATTTCTATCTCAGTTTGCCTTCACTGTTTTCCCACGTAACTTCTGCCAACTTCTTTCCCACACACAGAAAACTAGATGCTAGCATGGTGGTTTCAGCAAAAAGTAAAAACCACCACACCTACCCACAGCCACTTCCTTTTTCTCTGCAATGGATACAGGATTTTTTAGACACGAAAAAACTGTAAAGCTTTTATACTCGTTAACTGTATTTGTATAGCTTTTGATATGTTTCTTGCTTCTAGGACCATATTCTTTAAGATATCAAACACAAACTTTTTTAACTCCATTCTACTGCCAGAGGTAATCATTACAAATCCACAAGTAGTTAAATTAATAAAGTCCCTTTTTTTTTTATCACTTTTGCCATTGTACTTCTCCATAGCAGAATAAACACTAAACTAAGAGTCAGGGGTCTGAGATTTTTGCCAAGTTGCAGAATATAAGGTAGGTTAAAAGCCAAAAGAAAACCCTTAAAAAAAAAGGAAACCGAAATTTGGTGCCATTGCCTCTGGGAACTGAAACCAAACTTGATGTTTTAATATAACTGACAAATTTAATTTCACATGTGCTTTGCTTTTAATGGTTCATTAGAGTCTTTTAAAGAACCTTCCGTTCACTAAAGTATAAACAAGTCTTCCTATGAAATGTATAAAAATTCTGTTGAAAATAGAAAAGAGCTGTTTCCCCACAGGTAAATACTGAAGAGGAAATATATCAGAATATAACATTATCAGTGCATCAAAACAGCAAAATGATATGGAAGACTGTCCTGATAATGAAAGCATCTACCCATTAGACATGTCATACAATAACAAAACCTTCTCAGAAGATCCGATTTCAAAGGTTTTTCTGCTTTAAGGAAACATTTTTACAAGGGGGTGATCAACTTACCCAGATTTTCACAGGAGGATTAAAATAGTAGCATGGAGTAAGAAAAGACTGCTGCAGCTCTTTTATTGTTTACTTTTAGCTTCTATTTCTAATTTCTTTAAGTTCCTGTAATAATATTTCCAGGCTCATCAAAAGGGGAAATATCCAAGCCACTAAATGCCTGCGCGAAATATCATGGTATACTGTGTGTAAACAAGCACGCACATACTTGGCATACGTTAAGATACGACAGCTACTCGCAGTGGAGGGACCCACATTCGTAAGAACCTCAAAATCTTGGGCAGCTACAGAAATAGATAAAACAATTTTTCTTGATGCAGTTCTTGGGGGTTTAAATGACTGCAAAAGGTACTGGGCCAGGCACAGCACAGCCTTGCTTCAAATACCCTGATGCAGAGCTATCCAGGTGGCCAGACCACCATGAGCGTAGACTGCGGAGACACAAAGCTGCTGCCATCTCCCATCCTCCACAGACTTGCAAAGCTGTCCTGGCCAGAAAGGAAGTATAACCAGGGTGGCTGGGAGTGCGCTAAGCTAGAATAAATAGTTTCCCTTACTGAGGCTTCTATGGGGTTCATACTATAACAAAGCTGCCCGGCTCATGTAGAATTTACCACCTTGAATAAATTTGATGAATGTAGCCTAGGAAAAGTAAACAGCAGTGAGGCAGACTGGTGGGAAATAAGACTTTTTTTCTTTTCTAGAAATCCCTAACAACTTTCCTTTTCTATTCCTATATGAAGGATTTGCAGCAGTAGAGACGGTGCCTTCAGACCCGAGGAGGTTTTATGCATCTTAAGATCTTACATGGAACAAGCAGACATTGCTTAAATCCTTAGCAAAGATGTATTTATATGCTCCTGCATGCAGCTGGGGCTATGGGTCATGGGATTCCACGTGCCTTCAACGCCAGCAGCAGGAGAGACCTGAGTGGGTAGGTGCCCATTGTGTATCTTGGGCTGCATCAAAAGAAGCATGACCAGCAGGTTGAGGGAGGGGATTCTCATGCTCTGCTCTGCTCTCGTGAGACCACACCTGCAGTCCTGCATCCAGCTCTGGGGCCCCCAGCAAGGGAAAGATATGGACCTGTTGGGGTGAGTTCAGAGACCACGAAGATGCTCCAAGGGCTGGTGCACCTCTCGTGTGGAGACAGGCTGAGAGCTGGGCTTATTCAGCCTGGAGAAGAGAAGGCTCCAGGGAGACCTTAGAGCAGGTCCCAGAGCCTAAAGGGGCCTACAAAAAATCTGGAGAGGGGTCTTTTACAAGGGCGTGTAGGGACAGGACAAGGGGAATGGCTTTAACCTGACAGAGGGGAGATTGAGATTAGACATTTGGAAGAAGTTCTTCCCTGTGAGGGTGTGAGGCACTGGCACAGGTTGCCCAGAGAAGCTGTGGCTGCCCCATCCCTGGCAGTGTTCAAGGCCAGGCTGGATGGGGCTTGGAGCAACCTGGTCTAGTGGAAGGTGTCCCTGCCCATGGCAGGGGCTTGGAACTGGATGAGCTTTATGGTTCCTTTCAACCCAAACCATTCTGTGATTCTAAGTGGGAGCATAGCCTGAGTAGGATAATGATAATAGGTTTGGGATCCATGTATCAATGTGGCCATAAATCTGGGCTGGATACTGGAGAGACCAGAGGGTCTGTGATTTGGCTACTGGAGCGATCAGGAGGTCCACACCAGCTGACTGGGAGACTGCAGGGCCTGGGACTTGTTTGACAGACCTCTTTGCATGTGTGTCTGAATATGAGCATTGAGGCTTTCCAATACTGAATGACTGAGGTTGAAGACACTGGATTCTGCAATTCCTACCTTAGGACATATGCTGAAGTATCAGACTTAGACTAGGTGTGCCTGTGAATGCAATATTTGCACATCATGAAAGACACACAAAAATACACTGATGAGATTCAAAAGAAATCAAAGGACCCTGGAAGGTGTTCAGGCAACAAGTAATGAGAACCTAGAGACACACACATAAACGTATGGGTTTACACTTAACTCACATATAGACAACTACTTGATGACATCTGAACCTGGCTGCCAGTCTCAGCAAGCTGATCCCCATCCTGCATTTTTATGCAATCAACCAAGCATAATATGATCAAGATATAAGTGCTCACAACATACAGAACCGGCTAATTCACTGTTACAAACTCAAACCCAGGCAAGGATCCCATAAAATCAGAGAGGACAAATCAACTACTAAATATATTTGGACTGGATAATATCTGGCTTGCATCTCTGCAGTATTGTAAGAATATGCAGTAAATTTGTCAGCTGTTTGGCAGGAATGCACTTGGAATATGCAGCAGCATATTAGTTCTCAGAGATGTTTCCATACTATAAGCAAGTGTCCTCCTAAATATATGAATTTTTGGAGACCTGACAGGCAGGTGGTGACAAAGAAAATCAGTTTTACAGTCTGAGCACAAGAAAATCCAGAAAACTTCCAGCAAGTCAAATACCAGAAGGACAAGCACTGCAAATAGCTAAAAATCAGTAAAAACAAACTTTGGAAAATCAGTAGTACAGCTTGTTGAAGTAATTCAGCTTTGTGCCATCAGACATTGACTATGAAGACATAAAACCAAGGAGATCCGGTCCCTTAGAAAAGAGAATATTGGGAGACTACATGTTTCTTTCTGATGACCATGGGAAGGAGGCTATCAGTGCAGTAGATACCCCAGAAAAAAGATTAGGACAGTACCTTTTTCAAAGTCTCAAAACCTAAAGCTAGCTCTTCTCTCTCCATTTTGTTTGCCACACCAGCTGCTGAACAAATTAGGTACAAATAGAGTCTGAAAGGAAAGAGATAATGTGCCAAACCAGAAAACTGATTAGACATAGACAGGAGGACACATTGTGTGGGGAGCCAAAGAGGAACAAAAGAACAGAATCTTAGAATACTTCTAATTTCTGTTAGGTACTTTATATTAGAGAGAGATGATGTGACAGATTGCTGTTTTGTAGCCATTGTTCCTTCCTAATACCATCAGTGAACTTACTAAAGGGACATGAATTTAAACAATCTTGCTTGTTTATTGCCTTAGCTTAATGAAAAA